GTTCTTTGCGTTGTTGTGCAACTTTCTGCTTCTTGGGTTGTGAATTAAGAGTGCTTCCATTAAAGTTAGCTTCGTCAGAGTGATATACGGACGTTCTGTTAAACATTGGACATGGAGGAGTATTCCAATTTTGGATTGGAGCTGAATATCTGGACGAGTATAATAATGATAAAAGATTGTTTCTTTCTTCTTGAAGCATTTGGAATTTTGCTTGAAGAACCTCATAGGAAGGAGTATTTGACTCCATAAATCTTCTTTCGATAGTTTGTAGTCTTCGTTTCAAGTCCTCGATATCTTTGGCGTTTTTCTGGCAGTCAGGGCATTGATTATCCCCAGTGGGAGGSTTAATACTTGAGAAAAGAACTTGAATATCATCGTGTTTCGGTTGACTTGAAACATATTCTTCGGTCTTCTTTTGTCCCTCCTCGACGCCATCTTTGCCTTCTTCTTCTTCTTCTTCAGATTCATCTTCTGATTCAGAGCTTGATTCGGGACTTGATTCTACATTACAGTTTCCATTTTGTTCCTCGCTGTCCTCAGAAATAAAAGATATAATCTTTTCCTTCATTGATTCCTGTTTCGCTCCCTGAACATTCAAGGTTTTCGTGTTTGGGTAGAAACACAGAGTTACAGTGTCGGACTTAAGAACATGGAATCCTCCGTTATTGCTCGTAAAAGACCAATTTCCACTAAGTTTAAGGCTTGAATTCGCAAATTCCTTTAAATCTTCGAACTCACCAAGCCATTTTATCCTTTGCTTACCGCGGTCGCTTTCTAGTTTGAGTGGTAAATTTGATTTTAAATCAGTTTCGACGAGAGAGTTAAAATCGCGTCCTTCCGCCATGATAGCTAGCGATGGATCCGATGGATGGATGGATGGATGGATGGATGGATGGATGGATGGATGGATGGATGAATGCATGGATGGATGAATGGAAGAACAAAAGGCGCCAATACGGCCAATACTGCCGAGTATAATTATAGTAATCACTTATTTTATGTGCATGGTTCCGATTCCCCTCAGTTACCTTTGCTATGTCCCACAAGTTCAATAAAATGAGCAAGATTATCTCATACCAGAATTCGAAACTCTGTTTGCGGACAATTGATAATAAGTTGTTTCAATTATTTACTGTCCTGTGAAAATCAAATCAAAGTCCCTCATAATCTTTGTAGTACTCTATAAAACAGATACTGTGTAGTTGTTTTAATTCCACTGGAAAACTGCTACAACAGTGATTGGTTCGCTATTTTCGGAGTCGCTGAATCATAAATTGGTGCGAAAGAGGTGGCATCTCCCCCCTACACCCTATGTAAATCCAACCACTGAAAAAAGCTAATGTACCTTGAATATTTTGATCTGCCTGTGCCAATAGAACAGGATCTTTTCTCAGAGCTTCATGCTTGTCTTTCAATAAAGAAGGCAGTAAATCTGCTTCCTCTGGCTGTAGAAGGTCATCAATGTGCAGACTGGCCAGGGCTTGACTACAAAAGCAACAAACATCTGTGTATTTACTTTACAGCTCAGTGTTACCATATGAAGTATTGGGCAAGACTAATGCTTAGGAAAGTGAACTTAACATTGGAATATAAGTAATTAAAATTTGATTTACCTTAGCTGTTTATTCTTGGCATCCACTGAAGCATTATATCTCCTTAGTAGCTTTGCTTTCTCTTCACTATTTAAAAAAAACGATACCCTTTCAACCAGGAATGTAGCAGAAAGGAAGGGGTAAGGGAGGGGGGGGGGTGTAGCTAAATACGTACGTGTATAAGTCATTTTATCAATGCAATCTTTAAAATCTCAAGCATTTTTAAGATACAAAAGGAAAAAAAAAATCTATTAGCTTTGGATTGTCATATCACAGCGTGGGACAGTAACAACAGAGCCCTAAGCTACAAACTAAGTGAAAACCTAAAGATTGAATTGGAATTCAGTACGGTAGGTGATTTTCAAGGAGGGATGAAAACAATGAGTCGCTTCTCTGACCTGCTACAATGTACATCCCCAAAACAATTATGAAATAAGTTTATATGTTATTTTATTAAACTCATTAATAATTCATGAGGAAAACAGAAATCACGACAGTGAAGAGTTTTGTAAATCAGATACAGAATTCTGTTCATTTGCGTAAACTTTTAAAAAGATGTATTTCCTTGGCCAGATTCACTTTTATCTTGAAAATTTTAGCGAAACACAAAGGAACTAACCTAGACGTTTGATAAGTAATCTATACAGTATTCGTGTCTGTGTTGTATCCAATATACAAACTCTCGGCTACACCTTGAGTTTTTATATCGGATAAATCACGGCCACTCATACTGTATATATTACTTACAGACTGAAGTAGACTAACCTGTAAATAGATGCATCTGTATGAGCCTCTATAGGGATCAGTCTCTCAAAAATATCTGGACCAGATACGCTAGGATCACATGGTTGGAAGGGGATGGGCTTGACTAGGGAAGCTCCTATAATAATGATAATGATAATTAATATTATATATTAATATTAATATTTTATAATCCTTTTTCTTTAGAAAGGGTAACACATGACAGTTGCAAACTTAGCACTGATAAACTTGTTACCATCTATCTTTAATGTACTTCTCTAAGTGAGAGGGGACTGCCATTTTATGTTGTTGTCTGAGCCACGGTGAAGGTCTAACCATTTGCAGATATTTTTAGAGCAAAGGCAGCACCTTCTACTCAGATACATTGCATATATTCTAATACCCCATTCACACATAAACGTGTTTAGTTAAGCTATGTTTTCACTAGGAAAAAAATTGAGAAACTGGAAACCTACAATATTATGAAACTTTCTAAAATATTGTCAGAGCAAGACAAAGGATAGTTTACATGCATTATTCCACCAAATATTGTGCAGTGTTCATAGATAGTTTTTTAAACCTGTTTAGTTAAACCACTTTAAAACATGTTTAAGCCTTGGTGTGAATGGGGTATAAGACCCTGAGCATGGGTCTGGCCACAGAGGCTTGAACCCACAACAACATACTCAACAGACTGGTATAGATAACTAACAGAGCTAACCTATTGACTATGGCCAATACTATATAAACAGGGTAACGGGAGATGCACTAACCTTTGATCTCCTGCAGAGTTGCTAGGTCAGGAACAACTTCATGGTAGATGAAATCATTGTCTTTTACAGCTCCTTCAAGCCTGGTTTTGTAAAAAGGGAAAAATCATTACTGTTGTACAGTACTTGAATTATATTGATCGATGGATGGAAGGATTGGTAGATGGATGGGATGAATGGTTGGATGGGATGAATGGAAAGATGGGATTAATAGATAGATGGGAAGAATGAATGAATGGGATGGATTGATGAATTTCAGGTTTGATAGAAGGAAAGGTATGGATGTAGATGAATGGATGGAATTAATGGAAGAATGGATGGATGGGATGAATGGATGGATGGATGGGATAAATGGATGGGATGAATAGATGGATGTGATGAATGGATGGATGGGATGAATAGATGGATGTGATGAATGGATGGATGGATGAATGGATGGATGGGATGAATGGATGGATGGGATGAATGAATGAATGGACGGGATGAATGGATGGTTGGGATGAATGATGGATGTGATGAATGGATGGATGGGATGAATGGATGGGATGAATAGATAGTATGAATGGATGGGATGGATGGGATGGATGGGATGATAACCAATGTCTCTGTGTTACAACATGGTACTTACTTGTTGCTAACCACATCAGCCATAAACTGCAGCAATTCTAATGTTCTTTCTGGTTGACCCTGTAATAGATAATAATGTAGTACTATATCAAAAGATGGATGCATTAGTAGTTATATTTATTTATTGTTACACGTGTGCAAAACAAAGCATGTAACTGTAGCTAGCATTTACAGTACCTTTGATTGCTTCTGTGCTTCAGTTAACTTCTGTGAGGCAGCCTTCAAGTATGCAACCTAAAGAAGGATTGATAAGCAATTTAGCTAGCACATACAGTTAAGTGTAGTCTAAGGCAAGAAACTTTAAAACCATTTAATTTTTATCAATATTCTGAAAAAGCCCCTGGGCTGGTCTGATCAAAGTCAGGACATGCTAAAATTGGAATTTAGCATGTTTGGGTTACRTACCATAGAAAAAGAAGAAGGAAAATTGGAGAAAATTGCTGCAAAAAATTGTTGCAACCCTAACTAATTCAAACTTGTTAGAGCTGTGCTCCTGGGTCAAACATTGACTATGTAGTGGCTGCCAGACAAACATAAATATATTAATTACCTTTTAAACCTCAAAATAATTGACATCCTTCACTTAGGTTTAATATGTCTGTTAAACATAATCTTTTACCTTTTCACCAAATTTTTGGTTATCATTTGCATGATTTGACATGTGAATCTAAAAAGTAATTCAGAAAGTAATATAATTATAAAAAATATTAAAGCATAATTACAGAAGAAAGTACTGATTGGATAAGTGTTTTGAATGGACTACTTTGACGATATGGCAGCCATCTTGCCAGGTGGCAAAAAAAAAACAAAAACCAACAGCGAAAAATATAGAAATATTCATGTGCTTGTATCTTTTTATGAGTAAAGGTGATTGAGATGTGCTGTCTTAATTCAGCTTTTGCAGTTGTATTTTCTTGTGGTGAGCTGTCACAATCAATCAATGTAACTTTAACATAGCTTTATTTGTCCCCTGGATGCATTGGATCCAAGATGGTCACCATATCATCAAAGTAGTCCATTGCTTAACATAGTATCAGGTATTTTTTTGGCTTCTAAGTCTTTTCACTTCTGGTTTATTTAAGGTTGTTTGCCAGTATTTTTGCTTCCTACGATATGTGGCGATGTTTGCTTCCAAATAAGCTACCAAATAAGATTTGCTTCCAAATAAAATCTGGTCTATTTTTACATCCGTTTATTTTGAACTCATTGGAAGACAGCATACAGCTACCTTAAATCCATCTCATGACCAAGCAAAAACGTTTTAACACACTGGAAGCAAGTAATTTGATATAACAAGACTTACATATGAAACACAACTACCTTAAATCCATCTCATGACCAAGCAAAAAAGTGTCAACAGACTGGAAGCAAGTAMTTTGATATAACAAGACTTACATATGAAACACAGAGGAAGTGACAAGCCTTTATTTTCACTGCTTTGGTCCAGGTCTGAAAACATAACAAAGAAAATTATAAGCAGTTAGAAATATTCATAATTATGCTATTATATTGGCTGAGATAAAAAAATCTATCAGTTTTCGCTGTAATCACAGAGTGGACAATCACGAACGGAACCCTCAGATCCATGCCATGTGAAAGCCCAAGATCAAATTAGAATTTAGAAGTTGGTTTTTGCGGAGGCAGGAGAACCGGAGAACCCGGAGAAAAACCTTCGAAGCACAGGAGAGAACCAACAAACAACTCAACTCACATACAACACCAAGCTAGAGGGACTCGAACCTGGGTCGCATTGGTGAGAGGCAAGCACTCTCACCGCTACGCTACCCATGCTTCCCAATAATTCAGCCAATCCCTCACAGCAAAGGATCAAAGGTTTTTATTTCCCTCACAATGTGTAGTTCCAGAAATTAAACAAGCAGAGGATTTTTGTTTTAGACCCCTACTCCCAGAAATTTCAATTTTCTTCCATACAAACTCTGTAATTTTGTTCTTTCTCTGATCCCCCACCCCTTGCAATTTCAAAATTCCTCTGTGTGTGTGTGTGTGTGTGGGGGGGGGGCATCTTATCTTTTTATAAGCCTTGTTCTAATAAGTCCCCAGTCTCTAATAAGCCCCCACACCTGAGGCCGAAGGGTGTGGCCCTTTTTTTCCTTGGCAGGCCTTTAAAAGTCATTTCACCTATAGAGATTATAAGATAAACTTAAAGTAATTATGAATTTCCAAAGATCACTAAAATTTATCAAGCCCCCAGCCTAGCTCTAGGGGGCTATAGAGGAAATATGGTATTCATCTGTTCATGATCATTCATTCATTCATTCATTTATTGTTCAAAGTACCTTTGCTTTTTTTGAACCCATGTATGAAGATCCTAATGACTCTAAGATACCAAGTGCTTGTTGATAATAGTCACAAACCTGAAAGGTAATACAAAAATTGATATATCTGACGTTCACTCATCTCCCCCTTTCAATCATTTTTTACTCATTCATCCTTTTAGTCATTCATTCATTACTAATTTATTCATTAATTTATTTTCATTCATTAAATAATTCATATTTATTAATTCATTAGTTGTCATCCATCCATCCATTTTCATTCATTCATTCATTTTCATATTTTGAGTTAATTCATTCATTCAATAGTTTGCTCCATCCATCTGTCCGTCAGTCAGTCTGTCCATCCTTTCATCCGTTCATTCATTCATTTACATTACCTGCATACTAATTCTTGCAATCAAGGAATCTTTCCGACCATCAAGAATTGATTTTTCGAGCAGACATTCCTGAGCTTGGCCCTGAAAATTTCAATGAAAAGCAGATAGAAAGAATAAATTAAATACAGGTCATGCTCGGTCATGCCCCATTATTTCTGGCTAAACTATACTGGTCAAAATGACTGACAAGGCAAAGATTTGACTGGAAAAGTTCCAATTCTGGTCGTTTTTTAGCCCATCATAAGTTATGATGTCTAGAACAAGAAATGGTAAAATATAGTTGGATAAAATTGGAGGTAATAACTTAAGGTACCTACCAACATGATGTTGATGTAAAGTTGAAGTACACAACTTGCTAGATCGAAGAATGGAACCGCAAAATGATCCTGCACGAAAATTCAAAAATTATTTCTGTGCAATTCAGGATAGATTTAATTTCAAAATTGAAATTAATTTAATACATTCAATTAAAGAATCGTTGTCGGGTTCAGAAACATAGAACATAAAAGCTGAGACCGAAATGGCACATGGGAAATGTCTTAATTATATTATAATTTATTCATTTGCGCCATCCATGCAGTCGGTTTAGAATGCCAAACGCGTATTAAAAACAGTGGATGATGCCACAGGTTGCCGGTCACAGCATGCATCTAATTAACGTACTGCATGTGCCATTTGGGTCTCAGCTTCAATGTTCTATGTGTCTGAACCTGACAACGATTCTTCAATTGAGTGTATACAGAATGAAGATTAACATTTACCTCAGAAACCCATGGTAGTTTCATGGAAGACAATGGAACCATGACTGTGGTCTTGAAAGTAAAGAGGAAAAAATTGTAAACGAACGTCAGACATTGTTCTAACATTGTCAACAAGGGTATTATAAAAGATAGCCCAGTGATAAAACATTRAATTTTAATACAGGTTGGGTGACCGGTTCAATTAAAATTCTTGCTCAATAATGATCCCTGCAGATGTCACATGTCGGGCTCAGAATAATGTAGCAGTAGTGGGTGTAAAAGGTGCCATACAGGGCACTAGAGAAAAGCGTTGGCACATGCGTGCACTTCAGCACCTTTTCTAAGAATTTTGAAGTGGCTAGTGGGACTTGGTATCAGCCCAATCCCTGTACCACCATGAAATACCATAAAGAATTATTTTAATCTTTCTTTTAAAACATCAAGAAAGAGGACGATAGATACCTTCAAGTACTGAAATACACCAGCCGCTGCTTGAAAATGAGTACATGCTACCTTCATTCCCTGAAAAAATTGTTTATAGAATTTGAACATTGTTAATAATAATGAATTATTATTATATGAATTTTCAAAAGAGATAGACAAGTAATAGTTATTATAATCAATTTTAGCCTATAGGAAAGGGGTGAATAGCCAAAAAAGTGTTCTGACCCAAGCTTTTAGTATCTGTGTTGTAATTGTAAAATGGCAATCATCTTAAGTCCTGAATAATTTTTTAGGTACTGGTTCACACAAGCCTTGCAAATCTGGAAAATCAGAAGCAGACTCAGTAGTGTGCTGCTCATTAACAGCGCTTGTATTTTTTCACACCTAGGTGATGAAAGCAATACTGAGTCTGCTTCCAATTCCATTTGCTAGGCTAGTGTGAACCAGGTTCCAATTCTGAGGCTTAAATGCTAAGCAGAATTAATGGTAGCAGTCTTCTCACCTCCTCATTAGTCCTGTCTTCCTGGCTACCAAGAAGAGAATGTAGAGCACCTRCAATGAAGAATTTAAAAAAAAACCATCAATTTTTCAAAATCCTGCAGTATTCAGATAAGATTTTCAACATCTGTAACTATCTTACCTAGATTGTGCAGTATTGCTGCTTGCTCAAACCGAGCATCAGATAATGCTATTGATTCTTCTGAATATAAATCTGTCCTGTTGATTAAACACTGAGAGTTTAATGTTTATTTTAGGGTTGCTATCCAACAAATTATGGATGAAATTGAAAAACGAATTGTTTGTGTATCAGCAACTGGTCGCACTGGGAAGCACAAGTAGTATACATTGCTGATGCACTGCCTCTCACCAATGTGACCCGGGTTTAAGCACTGCCAGGCTCGGTGTCATATTGATCAGTAGAGGTATTTGTTGGTTCTCTCCTGTGCTTCGAGGGTTTTTTCTCCGGGTTCTCGCACTTCCACATATATCAACTTCTAAATTCTAATTCAATCTACTGGCTGCCTTATTTGCTTATCTGCCCTAGATTTTGCTGCGGAGGATTCTTAACATTGACAAGTTATCTATTATCTATCATAACATAATATAATTTTATTATCATTTTTTGTTAACATTACCAAGTAAAAGGTACCGATACAGCTCCTCCATCTATCATAGGAAATCTTGATTGTAAGAACTGTAATTGTGCAAAGTACCGCCGTAAAACACTACAGCCAGAGTGATCATGACTTGGGTGAAGACACGTCTGAAATAAATTTGACATTTAATGAATTACGAATACACCAAATCAAAACATGGCAACCAATTTGAATTGACCATTTTTCTAAAGGTTGCATGTGCATCCAAATTTAAAGGACTTGACGGTCCACGATACAAGAACACGATAAGAATTCATAAAATGGATTATTTTCCTCTTTATATATGAAACTGTCTTCTCAATTTTACTGAATTTGCATTTTTCAGTTTTGTGGCCTGTCAAGATTGGATACACATGCAACCTTGAGAGAACGGTCTATATTATAACTGTTCTGGACTGACTAGCCTCTCTATCATGTGAAAAAGCTTTTATGTTTCCATGTGAACACGATGCCATTGTCAGTACAGAATTAATAGTTATTCAAATTAGTCACTATATTTTAATTTAGTGTAATTATTACCAGATGCTATACACTCAAATAATAGGCCAATTTGAGCCTTAAGGATATAAATGTTTTAGTAAAACCTTAGACTTGAACATCAGAGAAAAGTCGAAAACTTTTCAGTATTAATAATAATTTGTTTATCAACCATAGATTTAATAAATATGATCTGAGCTTTCAGCCTACTCAGCCATCCTCATTTTTTTAAAATTCAATTTGATTTTTTTYCCTAAGTGCGTGCGAATTTGTTTAATTTAATATGCGCACACATATGCCATGGTTTGATCGCGTTTTTCTTTGTCAATAAATAYGTGTAACATTTTTTCGTTTTTTCATATAATCTATCTGTCATTAAGTATGTCATTATATTAATAATTTTTAAAACATAACATATTAGAACTATTTAAGGATAATTATTTTTCATTCATCATTAAAATTCTAATATTTTAAAATTATCGATAATTCTTAATCCTCACTAACATATAAGTAGGTGAACCTATCAATTATTTTAAACGATTCGTTCATTGTCAACAAAAACCCATATAATCAATCTCTTCCGGGCCTTAAATGAACCTTAAACTTGATTCATATCTTGGAAACAAAGTTTGGTTTTGCTATCAATTTGATCAAGGCATAAGAACTAAAAGAGATCAGCCAATAAAAAAATGAGGATTTAGTATCCGTATTTAATGCTATTTATTCAAGTAGCTTAAATTATGCTATAAATTCTTCTTTAGGAGATAGTATTTTTAGATCCATGACGTGAAGTTTGTGTGTGCTATATAACACGAATCAAGCTTATATAAGTCCAATATACGTCTTTATAAAAATAGTTATAATAGTCTTTCTTGATTCTTAAAATAACTCTTACCGCTCGAAGTCCTTCCAGCTGTTGACATTCATGTTTATAACTTTCGGGATCCTCTTGATAATGTTCGGATATGTACTGAAAAAKTGTATTCAAAATACGAAAAGTTGACGATAATATGATTGTTGTGCGAGACGTCCACATAATTTTGTAGTCGAAAGAACGTCAGAAATATTAAAAATTATTAAAAACTTTGAGTTAAAAAATAGTCTATAGGCTTCATAGATACTTACTTTCTTTAGCTGTGTAGCAAATTCAGTAGGAGAGGATTCTTTTAGGTCGATATTTAGCATGGAAGAGCGAGGGCAGCCTTCCATGTTGGATGATTTTCTCTCTTCGTTGACGTCTATGACGAGCCTGCGATTAGTTTCTCAGCAGCTTCTCCAAAATATCAATCATTTTATGCGTGCGCATTCAAAATGGCGGACCAAAAACACCAAAAATGGCCAAAAGATACTCCTCAAAAATGCGCCAAAAATGACGATTTAGAACGCCTTGGAAGTATAAGTTACGAGGAATTCTTCAAGGACTATCTTCTGGCAAACAGGCTTTGTATTTTTTCTAGTGATTTGACGAGTTCTTGGAGAAGTAGACACGAGTGGGTCAAAGATGGCAGACCCAACTATGAATTTCTTGAACAACATTTTGGTACGATTTAATGCCTAATATAAGTCAAAATGATTTTAATTGTTTATCGTAGGCTAGAGTATAGCTGTTGTAACGTGATTTATATAAGGGACGTAAAAGAATSACTGAGGACTTATAAAGAAACCCTGGCAAGAAACGTCCGCCCTAGTATGAATTACGAAAGGGCGCTACATACATGTAATTCAATATTATTATCATTATTTGATCTCCAATTTACCATATTTTAAGCTATGCAAATAACTTAAGTCTAAAAAAGCTAAAGTTTATAATTTTTTGTGCAGGTAATGCGACAGTTCCTGTGGCAGACTGTGGTAAAAAAATTTGCGGTAGTAATCCTAAACAAGAAATGAAGCTTGCTGAGTATTTAGCTTACTTGAAAACACCAGGTTAGAAGCATATTGTTTAGATGGAAATTTATAAACCAGCAATATGTGATTGCTTATTCTTCCCTTGCATATTTTCCCCCCTTGTAGGCACATACTGTATATCATATTTTCTTCTCACCCACAAAAGAATTATGCAATTTATTGGTGTTAAAAGTGTTTTCGTTGCTTTTTTAAAAGTATTTTTGAATACTTAAAAAAAAATGCAATGAGAAATTTTTAAAGAGTAATTTTATAATTTTTGTCAGAAAGGAAAATATTAAAAAATATATTATGCTTTTTATTTTATAGACAGAACTCAATCTCTTTATTTGAAAGACTGGCACTTCTGTAAGTAAGTTCAAGTTTTCTTATTTAGTGTTACCTTTTAATTTACTTTACAATCTTGATTTTTTGAGTTTTCCTCCCGTCTTTCCCCCCAGACATTTTCCAGATTACGAAGCATACCAGACCCCTAAGTACTTTAAGTCTGATTGGTTGAATGAATATTGGGATCAATGCAATGATGCCTCTGATGATTACAGATTCGTATACATTGGACCAAAAGGATCTTGGTAGGTTTTGGCAATGCTGAAGAAATGGATGGTTGAATGGATGGATGGGATATAAAGCTATGGGATGAATATGCATAATGGATGGGTTAGAGGAATGAATTTATTGAATGAATAAGTTGATGGTATGGATGAATTTGAGGGGCGAGAGGACTGTCAGATGGATGGATAGGCGTAAAGCATTGGGAAAAGAATTGTCTCGCTGTGCCATGGCGTCCCAGGATTAATTCTAAAACTTAGAGTCATATATGAGTAAAAAATTGCTTTGTTTCTTGATAAAATGGTTTCCTCCAGCCAATTCCTCCACAAAAATCAACTACCAGATTGATTTCCAAGATTGGTTGAAAGAAAGCTCCTTAGTGGAACCACTCCTCAATCCCATTTTAAAGGTGGATTTATAAATGGGTGGGTGGGTGGGTGCATAGATGGATGGTTAATGGAGGATTGGTGGGTAGATATATGGTAGTCTGACAGATAGCTATAAAGTAATGTACATGTATATTTTAAAACTGTTGATGATTTTAGAAATTCCACATTAGGGCATTTTTACTCACCAGGGCTTAAAATAATGGCCTGTCGTCGAATAATGTCCAGCAAGAATTGGAAATTGTCCAGAACCTTTGCCTTGCTGGTCATTTTGACCAGTAACTTTGAATGAATGAATAAGTTTATTAGACACAAAATCCACTCAGCTGACACTGCATGAATGGTTTCCATGTGTTAGATTCTAATTGAATCTGATTGAGAAAAGCTTGATAAACAGGCTGTTCTTACTTTTATTTAAAGGACGCCATTCCATGCTGATGTTCTCAGGTAAGATTTTATTAATAAATAATTGTATATCTATAWGACTTAGTATACTAAATCTTGAATAATATTAAAATTCGTATCCTGTTATCATAATGAAAGAGTATAGAGCAACTTCCACCTAAGAACCTACATTGTAATAGCCAGGGAATCAACAGAGACCGCGGAGCTGGGGGGGCTGGGGGGCTGCAGCCCCCCAACTTTGTGCGGCAAAAATATGAATATAAATAAAAAGCGTTTTTATAACTATTTTTCTTTTTTCACTATGCTTAATTTTCAAATGCCAGCCCCCCACTTTTCAATATGCTCCATGGTCCCTGATCAAGGATGGCGCAGTAGTAGTGCACTACCTATTTATCTCTCGCCTCTGGGGTCTCGGGTTCGATCTTCAAACTCTGTATCACATGTGACCAGAGTTGATCACATGTAGTTAGCTCTTGATGCAAGGGTCTTTCTCCAGGTTCTCCAGTTTCCCTACCTCTGCAAAAATCAACTTCTAAATTCCAATTGGAATTCAGGGGAAGAAGAGCCACTTTGTGGAAATGACACTCACGTCTGTTAAACCCCTTTAACTTATTATTATTTAGTATTTATTATTAATAATTCTAATCAGGTCATACAGCTGGTCTGCTAATATCTGTGGCCGTAAAATATGGTATATCTACCCACCAGGCCAGGAAGATTATCTTTATGACAAACTAGGGAATCTTGCTTATGATATAACAGCAAATGAAATAAAAGATATTGAAAAATACCCAAAAATTCAAGGAATTCAAGAGCCAATCATTGTTGAGCAGACTGAAGGAGAAGTGATATTCATACCCAGGTAAAATTTATATTAATCATGAATATTAAATATTATAAATATCTATCATATTATGTTATTACCAATATTTTTTATTGGCTCATGATAAATAGTACGCAATATTGATAATACATAGTTATAGTAGACATTAAAGATTTTCCATTAGTTGTCAATGAATTTTACAATTTTCTTTCAAGGGCCAAGTAAAATCACTCTAACATGCAGCTTGTTTTTTTGTTAATTTATTTAGTGGTTGGCATCATCAAGTTCATAATATGGTAAGTATGTACGATTTGTGTTACATGTGTTTACATGTCGACTATCGTATTAAATTATAATATATCATAATAATTGATTGGAATGTTAAGGTATAGGCAGGGATGTAGAGAGGGGAGGAGGGGCTGGGGGTAATAACCCCATTTTAGTCATTCAAGTCTGAACTTAAAACATGTTTGTTTAAATCCACATTYGGTCTGTAATTAATTTTATCCTTTCAGATTCATAGATTACCCTACAAGTATGGAATCTCCTTTTACCTCCTCCACGGTGAGAGAAGGAGGAGTTAAGAGGGGACAGTGCTCTCAGGGTAATCTTAAATCTGACTTTTGTCACTTACTTAGATAATTGATAATTGGTTCCTTTAGGGGTAAAGATCATTAGTTGCCACGCCTTCCTGGACAAGACTCGGCTATCTTATAGGGGTGATCATTTTATTTYGAAGTTTCCGACAACCCCCCACCCACTGGGGATTTTCCTCCATCTTTCTCACAATCTTTGGGCTTCCCAATCATTTTATGCCCCAGGAAGATACAATTTCCATCAACCATAACTGGACTAATGCCTGTGGATTATTAAAGACATGGAGTCATTTACAGAATGAACTGATGAGGGTAAGAATACTTGGAATATTTGCTCTAAAATCATTGAAGAAATTTTATCTTTTTTAAGTTTTTAAGGTCTATGGGACTATGGGGTTACTTATATCTATACATATTGTGTAGTTTCAGAAAATATCCATACCCTGACCAAAGAGGGAATTTGTAAAAGGACCCCACTACCCCTAGGAACTTCCAATTTCTTCCATACAAACTCTGAATTTTGTTCTAAAGTTATCTGACACCCCTCCCCTACAGAATTTCTAATTTCCTCCATGGATGGGGTATGGATATCTTATGGAACTACACATTAATTTTTTTATGCTTCTTAGTTTAAGATTTTTTAGTATTAATATTAACTACAACTTACAGTATTATTTCTTTAAGTTTATCATATTGATTTATCTTATAAGTTCATTGTTTAATATATTTTAATTTTAAGGGCTTAGGACCTTTCTATAAACCACAGATTAATAATGTTGGTATTCTCAATAAGGAATGATTTATTATTATCAGAATATATGGTCCTGTAATTATTTTTCTCATAACAGGTACAAAAGAGTATAGAAGACTGTCAGGACATGGATGATTGGCATCAACACTGCCAGGTATAGTACAAGGAAGATCCTTTCAAGTACCAACCTAATAGAATTAAGATCTTTGTTTGTAATCAAAGAAATCGCAATATAATAATAAGATTTATAAATAATAATAATGATGATGATGATGATGATGACGACAATATTTTAATGATAATTAAAGCCTTGGTTTATTGATGGTAATATGTACTGAAAGGTACATATTCAATAGTTTAGTTATTATAATTATTAATAAACTTGCAGCCCTGGTTACTACGCAGAGTTGGCAAATTTGACTAGATTCATTTTGACTTATGCTCCTCAAACTATGGATTAACAAATCAAAAACAGTTTTCCGTGTTTGATAGTCTGATCAAAACATGTGGGATGTTGAGAGAACACGAGAGGAGCATAGGAAACCACGACGCGTAGCGGAGTAGTTTCCAGCTTCTCGAGAAAAAAAAAAMGAAAAAAATATGGTATTATTCTGATGTATTTGTAAAGGATGTCGTGAGCGTGCTTTGATACCCTCATCAAACATGATTTTCGACCAATCGTAATGCGCGTACTATCCCAATTATTTTATAAATCATTTTTAAAATTTGAAAGGTGTTTAGTACTGCAAGAAAGAAATTATTCACCTCCTTCAATTGTCAGTGAAGGCATACTTTATCTCAATTTTACATTAAAGCAAGCTCCTACAACGTGAAGGACAAATGATATGTTAAGAAGTTAAGTTCCTCTTTTTCACAAGTTAGAGTAAAACTCACAAAATGTATTGTCTGGTTTCCACTATGTTCAATGATTCTTTTATTTATTTATTTTACTTTTATTTAGAAGTTAAATTTTAAAGTTGAATTGACTGGATTTTTTTTCTACCCATTTATAAAGGTGCTACTGTACCTAACCATGAAAGGATATCTGTGTGTGCAAATGCCATTATGCTTATGCTTGCATTGCTAGTTAAAACATTACACCTTATTTAATTAATTATTTAATTTTAATTTTTAACACTTCAAAAAGTGTTTATTTATTTCCTTATTTTACTGCAGCTCATGTTAAAATCAATGGCTGGAATGGATTACAGTGACTTCATAAACTACTTAGTCACAATAGCTAAGCCAAGACTGGACTTCATTCAACAACAACAACATACTACAGAAAAAGATATAAACTATGTAACAGCTTTTGAAGAATGGAAAGAAAGCATCAAGCAGTTAGAAACATCAAAGGAAGAATATTCTGTTGAAGATTATTGTAGATATGATATATCTGCGATTCACAAATGTGTAGATTTGATTCAAAACGATGAAACATTCAAGAATCTAGATGACTCATGTATGAAAACAAAAATTGACAAACTTTTAGATCAAATATTTGATATTTTAGGTGAGGATAAAGAAAGGTGGAGTAAATTGGCTACAACAGATCTGCAAGACACCAGAAGTATTTATCCTACAGGAAACCCAGTTCAGATGGATTAAAGGTGAACCATTTTTGGCATAAGTCACATTGAATTACGACTGCATTGAATCACTTTGAAATTGTATGCAAAGAAATTAATGGAGGTATGAACTCGCCAACCTCGTAGCATGACTGTTTCTACCAGACTAGGGGACCATATAACGAGAATAAGACATTAAGAAAAAAACAAAGATGTGCAAAAAATTTTCATCTTTTTTACTGAGTATTTTTGCTGTGTTTTTTTCATTTTCTTATTTTATAGAAAACTTTATCTCGGCCTTTAAATATTAAATTCAATAAAGGGAGGTGAAAGACAGCTCATTATCAGCACATCCCATCCTTTTCTCGATACCTTAAAACTTTCAATTCAAAATGCCTCTCAAAAAATGAAATTGATATCATCAAATGCATTCCTCTGTCAGTAAAAGATATGTAAAAATATAACTTTGAAATCTAGGAACCTTCTACAGTATAGCTGCAACTGGTATACTATACTTCTGGGGTCTCAGGTTTGATCTCTGGACCTGTCAGCACGTGTGAGTAGAGTTTTTTAGGTCTTTCACTTGATTCAAGGGTTTTCTCCAGATTCTCTGGTTTTTCTGCCCTCTGCAAAACCTAGAAAATCCAATTTGATCTGTGAGTTATACATATGTGCCAGAAGATCAGCCCAGAGGTTGTTTCAGGGTTTGATCTTTGAGCTAGACGTGCCCCAACTCTGATCAGCCCAGAGGTTGTTACAAGTTTGATAATAAATTTAAAGTCTAGCTTTTTCTTCCTTCTGCATTTGCATAATTTTCATTTTTAAAGGTTTTTAAAAAAATTGGGAGATTTAGGTTTAAAATCACTGCAGTTTAAAGACTTATCTATGGAATTTGTATTTTTAATATCTTCACATACCATAATGAAGTTAATAAAGGAATAACTTACTTTAATATATGTAATATTCTTTATTATCTGATTAAATGTCGGAAGTAGCAATAAAAATAGATTTGCAGATAAAATGATGACTCGAGTAGTATAGGGAATGGGGGTTCCAGCGCAATCTCAACACGGGGTAAGACCCGCGTCAAAAATCCACCTACGGACGACCCCCACTCCAAGTGTGGTTGAGGG